ACATATATATATATATATATATATATATATATATATATATATAATGAGACATCCGTTTATTCTATAACTAAGTTTATCTAAACTTATTCTGTTTAATAACTTATGTTCTACATTAAATTTCAACGATCTAATCGTTGAATTTAAAGTTCTTAATACATAAATCAATTATATAAATTTTTAATAAATTTAGACATCATCTGATACTTCATTTCATTAATTTAAATTAACTAATTATAAAATTATTTTATACATTAATTTGAATTAATGAAATGAAGTATCAAATAATTTTTAAATTTCTAAAAATTTGCAAACTTGGTCTATGTATTAAGAACTTTAAATTTAACAGTTAAATCGTTAAAATTTGATATAAAACTTGAGTTATTAAACAGTTAGATAGACTTACTCCTAAAATAAACATTTATCTCCTTTCTATGTATTTATAATTTGGAGTTGACTTTTATTTGAGTTGAAAATTAATTGACATGGCCCAACTTTGCTTCTGGCCCGGATAGTGGCTAAAACCTTCACCTCTCGGCCCATCTGTATATGGTGTCCTTTTAATTAAGAGCCAAATGAGAAGCGCGCTTCAACACTTAGCGGAAAAGTTTTCTTTTTCTTAGCCTTATAAAAAAGTGGGTTTACACTTTATAGGCTCAAACAGGCTATGAACCACAAATAAACAAAAGTTGAGAGCTTGTCCCTTTAAAAAAAGAAAGTCTGAACAAAATCATAAAAAAAATTAAGCATAATTTAATACATGTACAATCAAAACAAGGTTAATAACGCATAGAAAAAAATTCTAATTTTTAGATTTTTTTATAACTTAAAGTAACTCCTTGGACTCACATTTAATGTTCTACAATTAATTTTTGTTTGATGGTCAACATATAATAGAATATTAAAGTAGGATCATAAGAATACATAAGGTTTATTTGGATAAAGTTTTTGAAAACACTTTGAAATAGACTTAGGAACAAAAATAAACGGAAATTTCTTTATTATCTATAACTGTTTAAGAATAAGTTAAAAATAAGATTTTGAAGAAACTAATAGAAGAGATCCTCTACAAATTATTTTATATATAAAATAATTTTAACTTGTGAAAAAATTTATTTTATTTTTTTATTATTTAATTTTCTAAAAGTATTTCTAAGGATCACTGAAAACAAACTTATAAGATAAGAACAAATTAAATTGTACTCTATTCAAAGTGATTACTAGATGATAAACATAATATATTTATTGTATTATACATTTTTTTATTTATTTATGTAGTTACTTTTCTTAAAATTATATTTTTTTATTTATAAAAGCTCTTGGTCAATAGACCAATCACTCTATTCGGAGTTAAGATTCCCTTCATTTCCTTTTTTTTTTCAATTTATTTTATTATTAAAGTTTTAAAAGTATAAATGTAATTCATTATATTTTATTGATTTCTTTTAAAAAATTTAAAAAATAGAAAAAAAATAGGGAGGATCCATTTTACTCTGTCCACGAGTGAATACAAATTCCTATCGGTGTTATAGCGTCATGAAATGAAGCTTTTTAACTTTTCATTTTGTAGAGATTAGCATCCATCCTGTTGTTTGAATAATGAATTGTGAGTGAAGGATTCATAATTCACATTCACAAATTTGAGATATAGGAGTAGTCCAGCCCATTTTTGTTAGTTGTTGATAGCGAGTAGTGACACAAAAACTGAAATACGGCACTAGAATGGTGAACGGTTAATAATAATTCAAAAACTTTATAACTTTGATAGCGAAGCTAAGCTAGCTGGTAATCATATCATATAGCAATTTTAACACGCGAATAGACGGGTTTCCTCTTTAGTCCACGTCCATTCTCTACCCATACGTTCCCTTGCTAATAGTTGAATTGATTCAATTTTGGGAAGGTTAACATGTATCGGTTGCAGTACCACAAATCAAGACACATAAGTTTTGCTGGCTGCTTTGTAGTCTTCATAATCTGCTTCATCATTTCCTGCTTTCTTCCGAAGGAATCTATAGTTGGCGTACTGCAAAATTATCTGCCACTGTTAAGGCTTAACAACTTTACTAGCTTTGTTAATAAAGGCAAAAATCAGACTCACTTTATTGTCCAAACATATTTGTTTAAAAAAAAACAGTAAATTCAAAATTTGCATATAAAGGATACGAATAAGTCCAATGCCACACAACCTATGGCATCCAACAGCCACGGCATATTAGCTCTGATTCTTTCCCATTCGGTAGTTCGTACGAGAATGCTGCACCAATGACAGAACATGCAACAAAGTTAGATTGCTTAATTTTAGTTTTTTAATAATAACATGGCGGGGTAAGTCATTACCTTCCCACGTAAGTTGCATTGGCGATCAGTGCAAAGATGAACATGAGAGGATTTAAGCCCTGAAGATAAAGAAAGAAAGAATCTATACATCAGTGGAAAATGGAAATACAAGCTATTCTATGATTACATACTCATGAGTTGTGTAATTCGAAAAAAATAAATAAATGACTAAGATGAAATGTTATTACCTCCACGCTCCCTCTTTTAATCTGGCCAATGTTAACGTAGTCAACAACTTTATCAGTAATTAAACGCAGAGAAAAGTAGAATAGAAAGGAAAAATATTGGGAAGTAAAAGAAAAAGTAGAGACACACATTCAACCATATTTGAGGGAGCCGGCCACCCATGTAGATAACAGCCATGAGCCATCCTAGCCATTGACCCAAAGCACTGTGCACGTCGTGCTCCTGTGATGAGTTTTAGTAATTAAGTGTCCGCAAAATATGCAAAGCAACATTACTCTGTAGAAATAATTATAAGATTATAAACTAATTAATTAACCAGTACCACTGGCTAGTCGTACCTGCAAGAGTAGTTTCCTTCCATTGAATAATCTTAAAGCATTACTCTGCCGTGGCAAGTTCATAGATGCTGCAAGAAAAGTTCCATAGCTTGCCTAGTAAACATATAAGGATATCAGGACATATCGATCTGTGCTCTTTTCAGTAGATAATAAGAAAATTAATGATTGATCATTTAAAAATATGAATAGTTAATATTTTGATTGATTATCCTTACTCATTTTAGAATTATGGTTAATTGTATTGAGCTTATTCATTTGAAGGATAAAGACTCACAGGGACAGAACGGGGGATGGGTCTAGGTTGTGTTACAGTAGAAGAACGTGGAGGTGCCTCATCGTCAGAAGATGAATCATTGCTCAGTTCGGCAGCTGAAGGGACACTTTTAGCAGCTCTCAAGTAGGAACCAAATGGTGGAGTATCATTAGCAGCCAAAGATCTCGCTGACCTGTTTAATTAACACTCAGATCATTGCTTAATCAAAGTAACACCAATTAACAGGCAATGTGGTTACGTACCTATAGCAGTACTCTCGTCGAGACGTTGATTTGAGTCCCTCATTTTGTATTGGAATCGCAGATTCCAGGCCTGGTTGCGGTCTCAGAGGTTTTTTCTCTTCTTCATAAACCTAGTAAGCATTAACATACTAAAACAATAAGGTAATGAAATATACATACATATATATACTCATTGAAAAAAACATTCAAATGTATCTACATGTCTCTGTGACTAAATTTCAATTTTGATTAGCAGAGCGGGGCTTAAGAATTTGGAAATTACTATACCTTGTCGATGTTGATCTTCCGGTGATGCTTGCCCCATTTAGAGATGTAGTCATAATAGAAACTTTGCAGTACTAACACGATTGTAGTGATTGTGTAAAGCTGTACATACAATAAAAATCTATTTTTATATTATATTATAAAAATTATTAGTAGTCAGATTACGGAAACAAATAACTAATTACTACTACAAGTTTACAACTATAATAAAAAGGCAAATTATATTTTAGTAATATTAAGATTTGTTAAAGCAATATTGAACTATAAGTTTAATATGAAAAAAAATATTTTAGTTAGTATTAGTTAATAATATACCTATATACATGCTAGGATAAAAAAAATTATGATACATAATTTTATGACTTTTTTTTTATAAAATTAAGTTAATTATTTTAAATAAAAATACAACTTAAAAAATATATAAAGGAACCGTAATAAATGAAATGCAGGAAGCGATGAGTACAAAAGCAAATTTTCAGAGGGTTGGGCTTGAGCTCAGTATGACGCACTTTTGTCGTTTTCCTCTATCAATTGGGCCTTATTTCTGTAAGTTCAATCCTATCTATACTAAGTTTTCAAATTTGGTTATTATAAAACGAGGGACGTACTTTGGATAAGATAAGAAGCACTAATAATTATTATCAGAAAATCAACAAGATAAAAATCAAATTATTACGAAATAAAATCTAAAATTAATTCTAATATTAATAATTAATTTTTAATTAATAGTTATTATTATACTTTATTCTCAAAAGTGCAATTCTCTCTCTTTAAAAGAGAATCCATTATTTTTTCATTCTCTTTTTGTGTTTCTATATTTTTTAAAAATACTTATTTTAAAACCCAATTTTCATTCTCTTTTTGGGATTTGATTCCTAAAATATATTAAACACGTTCCATAAATTAATTTGTAAAATATTAAAATTTTAACACTCATCCAAATCCATCGTCAGCTTGGATGCACAATTGCACATGATGGGAGACAGGCAAGACAAGGAAAGGTGAAATAACGAGGAAGAATATTTTCTATATGGAGTTGAAAATCCATCAAATCCAATTATAATATTCATGAGTGCAAGGTGCAGTGCAGGATTGTAATAAGTAAACGAAGAAGCACTGAACAATCTCAGAAATACTTTAGAGGCACTCATCAGAATCTTAAATTTATAATATTAAGATCAATCAAAATCAAACTGACACGTCCACACATGCTATTTCCAAGGCTACTCATAATTTAAAGGCTTCGAGTGATGTTGCTTAAGATCTAAAAGACCGATACTCAGGAAAATGAAAATAATACAATATAAACAATATACATGGATGAAAATCCGGAGAAATATATTACCAGAGCTGTGTAGTATTGAGTCGGCAACTGGTTTTGTAGCCATCCAAAAAGCAAGAAGAGAAACATAATACAAAAATAAGAAAATAGTAAGTCAATAGTCACAATTAGTACATATGGCACATATTATTGCAAATATATAAAATAAAACATGAAGACTAATTGGCATACTCATACCGTGGCTGGCTCTAGAAGGCAACCAACGAGGTTGAATATGTCACTGCATCACAATAACATAGTAAAAGCAAGATTTGGCGAAAAGAATAAGAAAATGAAGAAGTAATTAAAGTGGCATGTACAAACCCTGCGACCCAAGTGAGGAGAAAGGCTAGGGAGACACCGTGGCTGGACTTAGCTCGAAAGTTGGTGATAATTTGAGGAATTTCTGCTACTCCCCAACATATTAGACTTATGAAACCAAAACCAAATGATATGTCATCTTTGATATTGCAGAGACAATCATCGAAGTATCTCTCAACCCAACCCAAACAGGGTTTACTCTCTTTCACGCAGTACGAGGGAGGCATTTTTCTCTCACTTTCTCCCCTTGGGAGAGGTTTAAGCTGGTTTTAAAGAAAGAGGCTGCTGAAATTACCAAACTAGAAGCAAGTAGTGAAATAGTGTAAAGTGCGAAGGTTGATAGGACTATGTTGTCCTTATCAGGGTTTCATTTAATCGCACAATTTGCGTAAAACAAAACTTGAGTATTGTTGCCACTTGTGTGGTTGGCATATTCAGATATTATTCCCTCAAGCTAAACTATGAACTATGAAGTGAACCCCATGTGAGTCTATGCATATTGCAATTTACAATATTATAGTGACAAAATTATCTAAATACATGTGCACTCTATGTTTATGTTACTAAAATTGACATTTTTAGACTTTGCAATAGACCGTGGTCATGTTACATATGACGACACCAGCAAATGTTGTTCAAAATCATGTTGACAACCGAGGAAAATTCTATTTGTGTCAATTATTTTTCTAAATAAATATTGTCTGTTGTTATTTCTCTCTTTACAGTTTTTTTTTTGGTTAATGGGATCAGGAAATTTAAAATGGACAAAAGATGTCAATAAAGTGTTGACATTATAGTACTATTTTTCGTACGTTTAATTTGTTTATCATCTTAATAGAAAATTCTGAGCAGAAATTAAGTGGCTCTGACCAGTAGGCCCTGAACAGAAAATAATATTCGGAGCATTCACAGAATATACTGAACACTGATTTCGGTGACGATTAGTTTACAAATTTGTATATCGTAATTTTAAGACAAAAAAGTTATAATAATAATTTAATACATTTAAGTGGTTAGATTTTTAAAAATAAATCAGATCATGATATATGTACATTTAAATAAAAAAATATAATTTAATTTATTTTTAAAATTTTGATGACTTAAATATATTAAATTATCATTAATTTTTTCATTTTGAAGTTAGAGGATTCAAATCGTAAATTTATTGAATGAAATTTTTTTCCTAAAACAGGAATTTCTTATAACTTCTTTAACAATTGTGAATTGATTTTTACCCATTTTACTATTATTTTTTTACCGGTAAACAATCACTTAGTATTGTTATTTTAATTTTTTAGACTAAGAAAATATTAAATAAATACTTAAAATATAAATAAATCTATAAATTTGATTATTTATTATTATTATTTTAGTCTCTAAATAAAATATTAATATTATAATTTTATCAAATTTTCTTAACTAATGTGACTAATAATTGTATTTTAAGAGATTTTTTTCTTTTAATTTCCTTCGATTCATGACATAATTTAAATATACTTTTTGAATTTAATACCAAAGGGACTATTTATTATTTTTACCAATTTTTATAATGCTGGTTTTATAATTTAGTTATATATCATACACTTATTATAAGAAAAAAAATAAAAATGATAATAAATAATTTATGTAGTATATAATTTTTCAAAAATCATAAAAAAAAATTGTGATCCCATTATTTGTAACCAAGAAAAAAATTGTCACTAAATTTAGTTCATAATTCTTTGACGTTCACCAAATTTTCAATCTATCCAACTGTTTGGTCTCATTCTCAAAACACTTAAAAAAAGAAATTATTATACAAATGTTTTTCACTAGAAAATGAAGTTGAGAATATTACTTTTTTGTATTTAGTTTGTTTTTTTTATTTATATTTATTTATAATTATTAGTGATATTATGACTTTGGTATAAAAAACGATGATTGATTACAAATTTTTTCTTACTAAATATTTATAATGTTGTTATAATTTTCTATATTAATGTGTTATTATATAATAATATTTCACTACAAGAAATGTTACATATAAAGACATACAAAAAGTATCACTATAGGTACAATATATGTAGGTATATGTCTATTTGACATGTAGTTACACACAATTTTAATGTTGATTTTGAATAAGATTTAACAACATATTTTGTGTGTCACTATAGCCTATACCCATACTTTTTAATAATATACCAACATATATTGTAGTTATTGTGTGGGTAAAAGTAATTTTTAGTGACATGTATAGTGTCACTATAGGGTGTGTGTCACTATATGACAATTTGCTTGTAATGATTTTAATTTTAATTCTATATAATATATTGAATGTTTTGGTGAAAGAACTTAGAAGAAAAAAAACTGAAAAAGATTTTCACTTTATATACATGAAAATATTTTTATTTGTTTATCGTGAATCTTGAAAGAAATATATTTTAAGTTAATATTTTGTGATATTAATTATTGTGGGTATTAATTATTTTGATATATTTATTTATTTTTGATTATTTTTAATATTAATTTATTTTATTATATATATATATATATATATATATACATATATATAAATGGGGAGTGTACGTAAACTTACTCCGTTCAATAACTCATGTTCTATATCAAATTTTAACGATCTAATCATTAAATTAAAGTTTTTAATATATAGGTCAAGTCTGTAAATTTTTAAAAAATTTAAAAATTATTTGATACTTCGTTTCATTAATTCAAATCAACGTATAAAATGATTTTATGATTATTTGTTAATTTGAATTAATGAAATGAAGTATCAAATGATTTTCAAATTTTTTAAAAATTTGCAGATTTGATCTATGCATTAAGAACTTTAATTTCAACGATTGAATTATTGAAAATTGATGTAGAACATGAGTTATTGAACTGAATAAATCTAGGTAGACTTATTCCTAAAGTAAACGAATTCCTCCTATATATATATATATATATATAGGAGGGATTATTTCTAGATTTATTGCGTTCAATAACTCATATTCTACGTCAAATTTCAATGATCCAACCGTTCAATTTAAAGTTCTTAATGCATAAATCAAATATGCAAATTTTTAGAAAATTTAAAAATCATTTGATACTTCGTTTCATTAATTCAAATTAATGTATAAAATGATTTTATGATTACCTATCAATTTGAATTAATGAAATGAAGTATCAAATGATTTTCAAATTTTCTAAAAATTTACAGATTTGATCTATGCATTAAGAACTTTAAATTAAACGGTTAGATCGTTGAAATTTAATGTAGAACATGAATTATTGAACATAGTAAGTCTAGGTAGACTTACTCCCGGAGTAAAAAGATTCCTCCTCATATATATATATATATATATATATATATATATATAT